GCACCTCAAACAGCGTGACAGGAACACAATCGTTGTCCACTAAGCCAAAGTGCTGTTGAGGGTACATGAATCTGGCTACCTCAAGGACAAATACCCCAGCCCAGTAGTAGGGGACACCCCAAAGCCCGTTCTTTAGGTTGGCCGTAATCCACAAAACATCAGTGTTTTCATGGTGTGGCCCCACCAACCGGCAGCGCGAGAGATATTCAAGGAGACGCCAGCAAGCGTTCTGAGAAAATGGATCGATCGCAAAAGCTTGGAAATGCAATGGAGAGTGGAAAGTACAGGACAGTCTTGCGTGTCCACAGCGTTCGTTTCACATGATTTCGTGCAAGGCGCTAAGGTGAAAACAGAGCCTGCCATTTTTCATGAGCGGTATGTTCGACCTATGGCATATGGCATTTGTGGTCACACCTTGCCAAAACATTGTGGTGTCAGCACCCAGCAATCAAGCGATTGTGACTGAAAATGTAAGTTCTTGCAATCGGGGACAGTCGATTGCGAAAGTGCAACATTTATCAGGACCGCAGCCCAATGAGGATCAGATGGCATGTTGGCTTCACAATTCCTCCAGTCCTGACAACGTGCCCCACCACAGCAGCTACAACATTTTTCCTCAAACGGCGGGTTCGGTTGTGGTGACTGCATCAAAAATAATTCAAAACTGGACACTGCAATGGTATCTTGACATGACACAACCTCAATATCCCATAGGTTTCAACAAGCTTGTGGAACGAATGGGTTTGTGCAGCTGTGGTTTGCAGAGGATGTGCATCCCTTGGTTGGACATATGGTCAAATGTGTGAAACGATGTCATGTTGTTCTTCAAACCATGGGACGGACCAAAAAAATGATGTAAAACCAAGGCTGTTTTTTTCTCGATTCTGCGTGTGGATATTGTGAGTTTCTTGTGTTTGTTCATGTCTTTGGCAGACAGAGGTGGGGAACTTTGTGCCACCATAGAGCAGATGCTCGTGAAATGGAAGGAGACTCCAACACAACCACTTCTTATATGGCCAAATTATGTTCATTCCAACAAATCCTATTGTTAATTGTTTTCCACCAACATGAGGATTGCAGGACATGCTGCAATTTGACAATTTGCAGGATGCCAAGATCTTGGTAGCTTCACGAGCGGCGTGGGGGGCTGACTAAGGCAGGTTTGCAGGTCAGCTTGTTGACGATCCTTGCGGATTGTTCATGTTCATATTGTTCCAGCACGGTTGGAAACTTTTATGCCAGAACTGTGGCCACGCTTCAATCGTGCCCTTCACGTCTTCCATGCTCATTGTCGCATTCTTTGAATGACAATCTTTACGCTGAGCAAAGCATCCAAACTCATCAAAACCAAAACATGTGCATGATTTGTCATATATATATATATCTAAATATATATATATATATTGGTACTGAACTCCAAAACAAGTCCCTTTTGCCGTTGTTGTTGGCTGACATATTAGCTCAGGCGCTGGCTACAAGCGTCGCGATCTCAAGAACATCTTTAGTTTTGCAAAAGACAGACATATCAGAAACCAAGACAGTGCAGGCCAGCTTAGCAGCTTTCCATTTTTTCCATATAGCTGAAACCCTCACACTTAATTTCTCAGCAAGGGGGATTCTGCTTGCCAGTTTGGCAATGCATGCTCACCAGGTTCTTTCTATTTGTTTATGGGTGCATTGTGCAGGGTCTCGCAAATAGTGCTGTGAAGCACGCTCGTTGAACCAGTTTGTCACTGCATCGTGTTTTCTTTATTTGTGAGCATTATTTGTTTGCCTTTGTTCTCTTCATTTTGTTCTGATTAGGATACTGTTCAAGGCACTGATCCCCCGTTGAGGAGCATGTCTCCACGTTCATTTTTTGTTCCTTCTTTTTGCAAGTGTGATCCATTCGAGAGTGAACCAACGATGCGCTGAGCGCATGAATCTTTGGACTGCAGTGATTCAAGGCTGAGCCTTTTGTGTGGAAAGTCAAGTGTCGCAAGCTGGGGCCCAAGATGAAGCACAGAATTACTGAACAAGGCAGCGTGTAGATTGTGTGTGAAGTTTGCCTTCACGAGCTTTGCCTTGCCAGTCCTGCAAAGATGTGCTGTAAATGAGGCAGTTTTGTTAGCTGCTTGTGATGGAGCTTGCTTAGGCTGGTCAGCAGCCAGGGGCTTTGTGGCTGTAGTACTGCCTTATGTGTGTTTTGAATTTTCACAATGCTGAGGCCATTTCTGCTTGCAGCAGAGCTTCGCAGTGGCGAGAGGCGCCCGGCACCCAGGGAAGCATCGAAGCAGACCAGAACGAAAAGAGAAACAACATGAAGGACGCTTTGAAGAGAAACAACAGCATGCTGCAACATTTTTGCTGAATCGCTTCACAGGGTGGCTCTGTATGCTTCTAGTGCGATGCTCAAATCCAAGCATTGGACTGCAGAATTGTGAAAAGGGTGCAGGGGGGGAGAGCTTCGGTTTGGGCTACAAATTATTTGACAGCCACCACTGCATGATGTTCTTCCAAGAAGCTTCAAAGCCTAGTTGGAATACCGAAAGTAGCAAGCAAGCTCAGATGCAACCTAAATGCACGCCCTAAAAGAGATTCTCCCGCCCCTAAATGCACGCCTTTGCAACCAATTGTCATACATTGATGTCTACAGCCTTGCACAAGAAGCGACATGTTGCAACTTTGTACACCCACATGGAACGTGGTAGTTGCAGCCTTTACCTCAACCAAACTGCTGAATCCTTTCTGTACTCTTACTTGCAAATTGCTAAAATTACAAGTTGTGTTTGTTACCTTGATGCTTCTCAGAGCTGGGACTCAGGTCGTCATGCTGTGACTTGTGCCAATGCCCCAGTGTGGAGGATTTTTGAATGTAGGAATGAGGAGTACGCTGGATGTAGCACATGCATCTCCAAGAAGAGGGGGAACCGCCTAGTTTTGGAACGCGTGTCTTATTTGTTTTGTTCTTCTGTCCACACACACACCTTCAAGGCTTGTTGTTTTCCTAATTCTGCTATGTGGTTTCTATCTATTTCTTGTTCTCAGTCCATGTTATATATATATGTGTTCTATTTTTTCCTTTGTTCTCAGTCGTTTATCTTTTTTGTGTTGCTGTTGCTGCTGCTGTAGCTGTAGCTGTAGCTGTAGCTGTAGCTGTAGCTGTAGCTGCTGCTGCTGCTGCTGCTGCTGCTGCTGCTGTTGGTGTTGGTGTTGTTGTTGTTGTTGTTTCTAGTTGTGGTCGTGCCAGTTGGTGGTTTTCCAAGTTTTGAAGGATTGTAGTTGTTGTACTGCTTGTGATATGTGGTTTCTATGGCTTATGTTGCAACGCAGCCTACTTTTGTAACCACCCCCCAAGGCAAAATTAAGAGAAGGCAGGAACCGTTCCATCGTAGCATACCTTTGGTGAGCCGCCCGAGGGTCAAGTTTAGATGCAAAAGGAACTTTTTCACTCAGCATACCTTTTGTGACGACCCTGAGGGTAAAATCTACAGGAGGAAGGAGTGATGCAAACATGTGAATTGTCGGAGGGTTAAATTTTAGAGAAGGGAGGCGTCGAATACCTTTTGCGAGCCACCCAAGGCCAAGGGTGAAATTTAGAGAAGGGTCCACGCAAACGTAGTATACCTTTTGTGTTCCCCCTGAGCAGAGAATTTTTGAGTCTGTATTCCAAATTGAGTCTAATTGTGTGTTCCAAAATGAGCCGCCTGCCAAGAAGAGGCAGGCGTGCGTCAAACAATCTGTTATTTACTCAAGGCTTTCCTGGAGGGATCTGGGCAGCGCTAGGATTGCTTGTAGAACTGACGCATCTATATAAACTCTTCAACAAAACCAGGTAGAATCAAGCGAGGGTTTCCAATCAACATTTGATTTACGTCGAGGATGCTGTGGGTGCGATGACTGAATAGAGTATATAGACAGTTCTGACAGTTTGGCTTCAAATTTCACGTGGCAATACTTTGGTTTGGAAGGTGCACCAAAGTGTATGCCATTGTATTTGTTTGTGAGGCAGCGGCAATCAGTGGAGGCCTGAGAGTGCAGAATGATCAAAGGCAGCTTCTGAACCTACGTATAAACTGACGAATTCGTGTGTGATCGAGTACCTTTGTTGCGTCACATGATCAGCTATTCAAACAGCTGTACCTTCCTAATGCAAGGAATGTCATTTCAGTGAAAATGCGGGATCTTTCCTGCAGTTTGCCACATCACGAGGTTCATATCAAGTGCTCATTTCCAAGTCACGTTGGATCACAAGGTGGCTGCCAAAAAACCTCGCGGTGGACAGTCGCTGCCTGCCAGAAATTGGGGACATTTGAAGGGAGGTAAGCCTGAGGTAAGCCGTTAGGCAGTTAGGCAGAACATGTAGCTAGATACTGGTAAAGTTCTCAAGGGAAGATCAGCCGCAAACCAAGCATGAAAAGAACCCTGCTCTAGCTTTTCCACACTGGCAGGTTGCATGTTTTTTCTTGAGTCAACCCCCCACACGAAGGCCATACAACAAGATGCTTTCACCCTGAGAGCTGCTCTTTCGGTTGGGAAAGTCAAATTAATACCCTGCACTGCCTTTTCAACCATTACTGACCTGATTTAGAGCTTCGAGCAAAAGTTATGGCTCTCCGCTTAGGTTGTGCCCGCTAAACTTGTTTCATGCATTTGGAGGCTTTGTTGCTATTGGAGGAGGCCGTCCTGCTTTGCCAGATTGTAGTTGTGCCAAGCAAAACGAAAATCTCTGGAGGGTGAGGCCTTCTTGTTAGAAAGCAAGCAAGATACAGGAGTTCAAACATATGTAGGCCTGGAGATCTGGGCTACGGCTGGATACAGCTGCTGGGACTGAATAAGATGCTTTTTCACAGTGACCAACTTAGCTTTTCAACCTCTACTGCTACTGCATTTGAACTCAATGGAGAGACCAGCCAAGCAAAAGTGAAGGGGACATACTCCAACATTAGCTTTGTCAAACGAATCAATGAATCAAGACACATCGTTCGACTTTGGGAAGTCAGGTTTGTCTCAATGCAGCCATGAGCCCGGAAGCTCGACTGAGACACCTTCTTGAAGCACTCTAGACTTTGAGCCTTGGCTGAGAGACAAGGCAATGAGTCATTATGTACCTAAGGTGCTTGTGCGCGCAAGGGCAGATGGGTTGGCAAGCTCAGCAAACTTCTCACGAAAAAGCTCTTCGACAGATTCCGAATGCTACACCCGACTGCGTGGTGCTGTTTGTTCCGAATAGCAGAATGCTTGGGTTACAATCTCTGGGGCTAGGAGTGGTCCACAGTTTGTCCACGGCGCTCCAAAACCGGAATACCTTGCGTGGTGTTTGGACTGGGAGTGGTGCGCAGTTTGTCTACAGGGCTTGAAAAACCGAAGTTCAGAATGCTTCGTGCTGTCTGGAACGTTGGGTGCTTTCGGGGCTGGGAGTGGTGTGCTTTGACAGGCAGGACAGACAACAAACATGTCGGAGATATCCTAAGACTGTGAGTTTGGTGGCAGTGCTCAGTGTCCATCTTGGAACCTCACCCCACACCATAAAACTGCAATATGTTCTTGGCGCAGCAATGCCACAGGCAGTTACGTGTACTCAGCAGGACGCCGTCAACGCAACAGCTTTGCACTCATTCTTACGCACCATAACACTTTGCTGTATGTTCCTTGCGCAGTGACAGCACGTAAACGCGCCGGCTAACAGCTTTTGCACTTGTAGTGTCGTTTGTGGCCGGTGCGAAGCAGTCTTTCTACGCTGCGCACAACCTGATGTATGTGTAGTAAGGCCACAAACAGTTGCAAGATGTGTCTGCGCCGGCAACAGCTTGTGCACTTGTGGCGTGCTTTGTGGCTCCATTGCAAAGCATTCAGTCTACGCCGTACAAAGCACGTTCTATGCGCGGCAAGGCGACAGGCAGTTGCACATACCTAACAGGGAAGTTCCGTGCTGTTGCACTTGTGGTCTGCCTTCTGTTCCTGTTACAATTCATTCTTTCTATGCAGTAGTCTTGGTAGGACCAACAGCGCGGCAGGTGGTTCCTTTGTGCCGGGAATGGCGTCTTTGTAATTCTGATGCGGTTTCCTCCTGCGTGCTCCCAGTTCCTGCTCCCAGTTCCCTTTACACTTCACAAATGGATTGGGGTTGCATTTGCGATGCATGGATGGAGTGTTTGAAGAGTTCTAGTCAATTGAGTTGCCACCTGCTGTTGGGCTGGGCCTATTTTTTTGCTTCAAGGTGTGCAGACTTATGGGACCAACGTACTTTGAGGACTTGACATTGAACTGTGATAGGTCTGGGCGCTGTGCCTGATGCGCGAGTTTTCCTTTAGACGTTTGCAACCAGATGCTCTTAGCTACAGTGTTCCTGGGCTGCACTTGTTCTGTCATGTTCCCCGAAACAATGCAAACAAACAACCACCTGATTTGTCTACCGTAAGTCCACGGTCGAGTGCTGACTTTTCTCGACAGCTGTTAAGGCACTGACAGCAGCTTTTAAAGCCCGTGGCTTGTGGCGAAAGGCGTTAGGGATACTAGAAGAGGCCAGGTTGAAGAGATAAAAACAACCGAGAAGAAACATCTCAGTTTGCCCTTTCCTTCCTGCTGTCGCCGTATATGAGAGTTGATCGAAGTGAAAGGAAAAAGTGGGCCTCCAGAGCAAGAAAGCGGTGGGTTCTGGGTATGTGCTTGTCTGATGGAGCCAGAACGGACGTCACATTAAATAACCACATCGACCACATCAGTGTTCACCTTCCAAACCCTGTTGTCATTCGCAGCCTCCAACTGCAAAATGTTACTTGGCCTTTGAACTGTTAAAGAGATTTCTCCGCAGGCAGATCCACCCACTGCCATATCAGCAGCATTGTCAGCCTGTGCAGTGGAGGAAGCTTGGCAGGCTTCACTCAAAATCGTTCATTTCCTTCAAAGGAGCCAAAAGTAGGTGGATTTGCACTTTGGTGTTCTATTCTAGCAGATGATGGCACAAAGAACGGCTTGCTGTTGCCCAGGCAGCTATGGCTGTTTGGACACGTGTGCTGCCGCCAAGTTGTTTCGTATTCCTTTTCTTATTATATATGTAGATGACTTGTGCGACGTTTTGCAATATGTGTTTGTTTGTTCGGATTGATTGTTTGTTTGTTTGTTTGCTTGGTTGGTTTCTTTACACCTGCCTTAAATTAAAGTGCAAGGAGGCATGCTGTGGCAAAAGTGGTTGATATGCTCAGTAACTTGCTATCCTCACTTTCTGTCTTTCAGATCTTCAACATGTATTGGCATTTGACATGTGTGATAGACACCAAGAGTATTAGCCGAGGCGCACTATGCCACTTTGAAAGTGGATCATGTATTTTGTTGTCTGAGAGTTGCAGGTACTTGAGTTCCAATTGGACTGTGAACCAGGAAAGAGGCATCATGCCAGTGACGAATACAGGAAGATGCATGTATTAGCAT